TTGGGGGTTGAGGCTTCGGATCTAGGTCCATGGAAGGGTCACAAGGTAGTTAGGGGTTGCTTTTGCACCCATGGAAGGCCCCATGCATCTTAAGAGCTTCTTTTTGGGCATTTTAGACTCAAAGTCCCATGCATGCACGTAAAGTTTGTAACTTTACGTGCTAGATTGAGTTTAGGGACCTAGATCTATCATTTGGACAAGAGTTGCACTTCATAAATTGAAGAAATAAGACTTGGACTGTAGCGACTCGGCGAGTCGGCGAGTCGTTCTTGGGACTCGACGAGTCCGAGGTTAGACTCCCCTTTTCTGTTATGGTTCATGGGAACCAGTTGAGTGAAAGAAAGGTTTTAGAGGGTCCAGGGGAGTGACCCAAACGTATTGGGATAAGCCATAGTCCTGGAGTTCATAGGACTCGACGAGTGAACGAGCAGACTCGGCGAGTCCAAGGCAATCTCCCAACCCTTGAAGATGAACTCGACGAGTTGTTCATAGAACTCGGCGAGTCAAGGCCAGGACGTATTCATAGGATGACGATGGACTCGACGGGTGTTCATACCGCTCGGCGAGTCGGATTAAGGTTCATCCGAGGTTGTGTTAGAAGGAGAACTCATCGAGTCGTTGCTAAACTCGACGAGTAGGGACGTGGATGAGGACGGTTGAAGATATAGGGACTCGACGAGTTGACGGCCCAACTCGGCGAGTCGGGTCAACTGGAAGTTGACTTTGACTTTGACTTTGACTTGGTCTTGGTTAGGGGTAAAATAGTCATTTTACCCTAAGAGTAGATATCAGATTCTGACTGAGTGTTTTGTGGGGATTATAGCCGGAGGATTTCCGAAGTAGCAGTAGTCAGAGACTTCCCGTGCAGATTATCAGCAGCTACTCGTTTGAGGTGAGTTACCTTCCAGTAGCGGTGGGTCTACGGCCACAATGCCGGCCCACCAGTAGGAGTTATATGTTAGATGACTGTCTTTGTGATATTCATCTAGGTTTGCTACTACCTGATGTGTTATGTGCTAGTATGATATAATGTTATATGCTAGTAGCAGTAGGGGAGATAGTCTCCAAGATTTCCTGTCGATAGGGCCGAAGGGGGTAGTCATACCCAGTCATGCTAAATAGAATATGATTATGTGTTATATGTTATGTGGTAGTAGTAGAGGGGTGAAATAGTCCCCAATATCCGGTCGAGAGGACCGAAGGGGAGGCCAGCACCCAGATATGCTAGGCAGTATCCGGTCGAGAGGACCGAAGGGGAGGATAGCACCCAGATATGCTAGGCAGTATCCGGTCGAGAGGGCCGAAGGGGTAGGTCGGGCACCCAGATATGCCTGACAGTATATGTATGTTATGTGATTGTATGGTATGTGGTATGATGGGGGAACTTACTAAGCTTCGTGCTTACAGTTTACAGTTTTGGTTTCAGGTACCTCTTCAGCGAAGGGGAAAGAGCTGGCGCGGTAGCGACACATCATACACACACGCATTGATTTTCCGCACTTGAGATATTCTGGGATTGTACTCTGGCATGTTGCTATTATATGTTTTGGGTTTTCAGACATGATACATTGATTCACAAAATGATATATTGTTACGCAATTTTCTTATGAATGTTTTTATAATCTGTTAATTAAAATGAAATTTTTGGACTCGAAATTTGGGATGTTACACTAGTACGCCAAGCGTACCACTTAGTACGCTCCGCGTACTATCTAAAGGACCAAAATGCAAGGTTTTTCAATAAAGGGAGGGGGGGGGGGTAAAAGTGAAAGTTACGAAACTTAAGTGTTACAATATTATAGAGGATTAGGAACGAAAAGCCATGGTAGTTGATAACCACTGCAAAATCACATTTACTCTTACTTCCAAACTTCATTTTTATGAAATTGTATACGACTTCGAATAACCAAATTACTAAGGTATAACCAACAATTGCTTAAAATTGAAGACCCTAACTTCATAACAAATCAATACAAATTATTGACCCTTATAGAGAAAGGCGAAGAGAGCTTTGGTCGTGGTATGAATCAAAAGGTAAAGTGATCACTCACTTAGCCCCCATGCAAGAACAACCCCAAAACAACAACGTTTAAGCCCCTTCTAAATATTAAAATTGTATGATTTTCCATGTAGGATGCTACACCATTCCCTCTGGAGCCACGTTGACAAGTAATAAGACAAGCTGCATAAAACAAGTTCGAATAGGTAAATAGTGTCAAAATTCTGATTTTAAAGTTCAATTCCACTAATTTTGACATTGAGTAATCAAATGGTAACAAAACGAACTTCATGGTAAATTTTATCACAAATCCTACTATAACTAATTATAAGTTACCGATTTTAGTATGAGGGTGTTTGGCTAAGCTTATTAAAAATGCTTATTACCTTTTAACTTATAGCTTATTAGTTTATAGCGGTGTCAAAACGAAGTTTTTAAAAAAGTGTTTGAATTAGATTATCCGATGTCAAAACACTATAAATTGATAAGCGTTTTAAGTGTTTGGTAAAATGATAAAAAAAGACTTCACAAAGATGTCAGACAACTGTTATACGAAGTTTTGATAAGTTAGGAGTTAGTAACTTATAAAAAATGACTTATCTCTGGTTCCACACTACTATAAGTCATTTTTAAAAAATAGTCTATCCAAACATTCATTTTAACCTATACTGGTACGGAAACATTAATAAGTTAAGAAACTCATTTTTAAGCTTAGCCATCGATTTATAATAATTATTAATTTATCACAGTTTTACTTTAAAACTTATATAATACAAAATATTAGAATTTCCAAATGAAATACTTATATAATTATAAGTTCAAAGTTTATAAAAAAACAGAATTTACAAAAAATAAGAAACTACAAAAATACATTTACAAAACCTTAAAAAAGATCGATACTTGCTGATTTGTCTAGAAAATCTTTGGTTCGATATGGACCAATAGACTATCAGGTTTGTCACATAACATCTGTCTCATATTCGTTGGGTCTAGAAGGTCTATTCAAGTGCCCACAAGGCCACAATATGACATAATATAGGGATAATGACTTAAAAGGGTAAAATACTTTTCGATTTGTACACATTTGGTCACTGAATTTTTTTCGTCTACATTTACCCCTTCAACTTTTTAAACTGTACATATTTAGTCCTTATGTCCGGCTACTCCAGGTTAGCCGGTAAAAATGACTTAATAGGGTAATATATTTATCATTTTGTACACATTTAGTCCTTAATATTTTTGTATATATCTAGTCCTTAATATTTTTTTTTGTTGCAAAATAAGTCATTTTTGTTTTTGTACTCATTCAATACTTATGAATGATTTCTTTAGATTTTTCTCAAGACATCTTACGTGTGACAATCATTAATGAGATGTTTCGGGCTTTTGATGCTGATGTCCATCGCGATCTTGACTACTTGGTTGCTTAGGTCATGTGTTTTGAACGTCATAATTTCTTCATACGATCTTGAATTTTAACGATATTTATATCCATGCATTCATATTTTAGTCTACTCCAACTTTTGTTTAGATTACTCCTGTTAAAAAGCAATATATTTTTACTTACTATCTCACATCTGATTACTTATGGTTACACATTCCTTGGAGTGTTGGTTATGTATCCCTGTATATAAGATGTTGCTGAGTTGTAGTGATCTGGTAGATTTATGTATCCTTGTATGATACAATAGCAGTATGCTAGTTAGAGTACCAGTAACTTGGTGTTATCGTCTAGTGGAGTGTCATAGGGGTTGTATGTAGTCATGTAGGATAGTCTGAGAAGTTTTGATCTAGGCTTTCTTGCATGTTCCTTGTTTGGTTGTGGCTCTAGAGTAGGATCATCTATTCGGGTGGCTATCTCACCTCTGGTTACGTATGGTTACGCATTTTATAGAGGTTAGCTGGTAGCAGAACAGCGTGCTATGAGAGGACTAATGGGCGATAGTGAGATGTATGATTTATAATTGTTTGTATTTTGTGCCTAATTGATCCTTGATTATTTATATGTCGACATATGGTGGTGGGATAAGTTGAAGCGATTCTGCTATGTGTTGTAGGCCAAGATACCTGGTGCAGTTCGGTTGTAAGTCGTAGGCACAGAGGCTCGAGAAGAGCGGTTAGGTTGAGGCAGCATGCCTACAAACCTTGGGTATTCCAGTCCGATGAGTGATTGGACCCGTTTCATGTTGGCATTCCAGTCTGATGACTGATTGGGTCAGAGTATTCCAATTTGATGATTGTGGGCCCGTTATGCATGATAATACGTTTGTTGTATGGGGTACTTTGGGGGAAACTCACTAAATTTTGTGATTACCCAGTTGTTTATGTTTTCAGGTTCTATCGTTGATTGTGGGAAGGCGAAGACAGAACTGTACATACTCATCAACAGTATTGAAGATTCAACATTTCTTATATTACTCTGATTTTCGATAAATGTATTTTGGAATACACGGTTTTTCTTAATAATGGATTTATAATTAGAGAGTTTTGCCTTATTTAAAAATGAAAACTTTTTGTTGTGAAAATAGGACGTTACACATAAGCATCAAAAGACCCACACCTCTCATTAATGATTGTCCTACGTAAGACGTCGTGGGAAAAACATAAAGAAATCATTCATAAGTACTGAATGAGTACAAAAATAAAAAGAACTTATTTTGAAACAAAAAATATTAAGGACTAAATGTGTACAAAAATATTAAGGACTAAATGTGTACAAAATGAGAAATATATTACCCTATTAAGTCACTTTTCTCGACTAACCTGGAGTAATCGGTCATAATGACTGAATGCGTACAGTTTAACAAGTTGAAGGGGTAAATGTAAACGAAAAAAAAAAACTCAATGATCAAATGTGTACAAATCGAAAAATATATTACCCTTTTAAGTCATTCTCCCCATAATATTATTAGTACAAATGGTAATTCAGGGGTCAAAACAAACATACACTATAGTGTATGGGAGTAAAATGATATATTCTCTTATTAAACCCCATAAACAACATTCTTTGGAGAGAGAGAGAGAGAGGAAAGAGAGACCATTTATCCTCTGACTGTTTTTTTAACATTCGAGAGAGAGAGAGAGAGAGTTCAACTCTTTGACTCGGCCATGCCGGCAAAGAGTGTTGTCTATCGATATTTATATCTGAAAGCGCGTTGATGCATACGAGCAAGTAAAAGTGTTCATTTTTGACTCTCATCCACGGAAAATAGTTGCACGAATTCTTTTATTTTGGAGAGCACATCAAAACCCTAATTTTGGGTTTTCATTCAAATCAGGTCTAAAGGTATCATCAGTTTTGTACTATGTCAAGCGCCGGATTGAATTTCGTTTTGTATGATGTTAGTCGGTAATGATTATGCTTAACCGACGCACATCCACAGAAGTGAAATCGTTGTTTTTTGATTAGTTTGATCGGGTTTTTCTATAGCTGTGATTGGCAGTTAGTTTTGGGGATTTAATGGGTGGGATTTGTGGTAAGCCTGCTGCCATCGATGATGGCAGAGGGAGTTCGAGTTCAAGGGAGAGAGTACCGAGTAAAGCTTCATCAGAATCGCGCGGATCGCGGTCTAAAAGGGTAGAAAGTTTTAGGGTGAAGAATAGAGGTGAGGTAAGAACTGGATCCATCGACAAGAGATTGAATTCTTCACGACGTGTTCGTGATGATCATTACGAGAAGAAGAGAGAGGTGTCAGAAGTGTTTATTGCTAATATTCCGGGTATAGGGACTATTCCAAAAGCTATAGAAGGTGAACAAGTCGTGGCAGGTTGGCCTTCTTGGCTTGCTGCTGTAGCTGGTGAAGCCATCAATGGATGGTTACCTCGCAGAGCAGATACATTCGAGAAACTTGAAAAGGTATGTTTATGAAAAATTTGCCAAATTTGATATCTCAGGTGCTGAATACGTTCCACATCTGAATCTGATTGTTTTGATGCAGATTGGTCAAGGAACATATAGCAGTGTCTACAAGGCTCGTGATCTCACTAACAATAAAGTTGTTGCTTTAAAAAGAGTGCGTTTTGATAACATGGATCCTGAAAGTGTGAAGTTTATGGCGAGAGAGATTCTTATCTTGCGAAGGCTTGATCATCCCAATATAATCAAGCTTGAAGGAATGGTCACTTCACGCACTTCATGTAGCTTGTACCTGGTTTTTGAGTACATGGAACATGATCTTACTGGACTTGCATCGTTACCTGGGGCTAAGTTCACAGAACCACAGGTAGACTCAGATTCTTTCTTCGTCTTCTTCTTCTCGAGTTTTCTGGATACATAATGTTACATCGATGATGGATGATGGATGCATTCTTGTATTGTAGGTTAAATGCTACATGCAACAACTGCTAAGTGGACTTGAGCATTGCCATAGTCGTGGTGTTTTACACCGTGACATAAAAGGGTCGAATCTTTTGATAGATAATCATGGAATCTTGAAGATTGCGGATTTTGGTTTAGCAAGTTTTTTTGATCATAGGGAAAATGTGCCATTAACTAGCCGAGTTGTGACTCTTTGGTATCGACCACCTGAACTTCTTCTTGGAGCAACTCATTATGGAGTTGCAGTGGACTTGTGGAGCACAGGATGCATTCTTGGAGAGTTATATGCTGGAAAACCTATCATGCCTGGTCGAACAGAGGTCTAAAAACTTGACAGATTCCATTTCCTTCAGATTCCATTCCTTCCAAAAACATTCTCTGAACTGATCTTCCACTTGGTTACTCTTTTGACTTATGATTTCTATTTTGTAGGTGGAGCAATTGCATAAAATATTCAAACTTTGTGGTTCACCATCTGAGGATTATTGGAGAAAATCAAAATTACGTCATTCAGCGGTGTTTAAACCTACACAACCTTACAGATGTCGAATTGAAGAAACTTTTAAAGATGTTCCTCCTGTTGCTATCAGTCTTATGGAGATGTTACTTGCAATAGATCCTTCACAAAGAGGAACCGCATCATTTGCTCTTAAGAGTGAGGTAATGGGCCACAAAATATTACAAGTAATACATAAAATTCAGGAAATAATGAACACATCAGTCAGTTTATGGTCAGTGGATATGTTTTAAAGGGAAAAGTAAAGAAAAGAACTTATACTTAACCATTTAATCAATTTAGTCTTTTAACTGTTTTCTGTTGTGATTAAACCATTACTTTTAACCATTTAAACCATGTTTCCTGGTTTCCTGGTTTTGATTAAAAAAAGATTAACTTATGTTGCTATTTTCTGCAATTTTCCTTTTTACTGGTGTTTGAGCTCAAAGTAAATATACCTATACCTACTGTTTTAAGCCACACCTCAATTTTGTTAATTCTTTTCAATCTCTTATGAAAAATTAAAACTAAGAATTCAGTTGACTTATATATGATTCTAATATTATTGCAGTTCTTTACAACAAAACCACATGCTTGTGATCCTTCAAGTTTGCCAAAATATCCTCCCAGCAAAGAAATTGATGCAAAACTGAGGGAGGAAGAAGCTAGAAGGTATGTGCATGTGTTCATGTTATACTATTTACCACACTAAAAAAGTTCCATGTTTATTAAATTACATTTTTATTTATTATAAAATAACTAGAAAACATACTTTTAACATAATTTTATTTCACTTATAGTAAGCTTTTTCATTATGCTTAAATTTTTATTTGTATAAATAAAAAAAGTTCATTGCATAATCTTATTTTAGTTCTAATCAAAACCATGTAATGACTTTTCCATTCCATTCCATCCAACCAAACACATTCTTGAAATCTTGGTTTGACTATCGAATCCAAAGTATTTTTTTTTTTGACCTTACAAGTCAAGCTACAGAAACTAATATAGTTTATATCTTAATGTTGTTACCTTCACTATAATTATATAACTTGATTTAATCAACTTTTTAATCACTGAAAATGTTGTGTAGACAAAGAGCGGAATATAAGGGCCAAAAGGTGGAAAAGGAAAGCCGAGGACCAAAAGACCCTCGGGCAGTTCCAGCTCCTGATGCCAATGCTGAGTTAGTAGCATCAATGCAGGTACTTTCACCATTTTATCAATTTAGCCACTAAACTATTATTATTTATTTATTTATGATTATTAATTATTTCCTTATTTGCTAACAACACTTGAATCCAATTCCTTTACAGAGAAGGCAAGACCGAGCAAATTCAAAGAGCAGAAGCGAGTACTTCTCCCGTAACAAAGATGACACAGCTTCCGGTTTCCCTATCGAAAACCCGAGACTTTCCCATTACTCAAAAGATTCAATCAACGATTCCAAACCACACCCACCAATGCGGGAATCCTATTCCGGCCCGTTGGTTGCGGATTCATGGACAAAATTGGGAAAAAGATACGATGATGTCTCAATCACGAGCCGAGCTGATTTATCTTCGCTCTCGGGTTTAGTGAGCTCCCGGATATTATCAGCCGAAGATCGTGAAAAACGTGTTTCTAATTCTAATTGTAATTCTTCCCAATTGGATCCAACAAATCAGATGGGAAGACTATCGGAATTCACCCAAGAATTTGGACACTCCGGAAAGCATGATCGGAAAGACCTTTCCCGGAGATACATGGAAAGTGGAAGATCTAGTACTAAGGAACCTGCTCAGGTGAGTTGTATATTTATATATTATATCTACAAATGAAGGAAAGTAGAGTGATACTTAATATGGTGTTTGATTATATATTTATATTATAGAATGGTCATGGATACAAGGGAAACAACAAGATCCATTTCTCCGGTCCATTGGGTTCATCAAATGCGAATGTGGACCAGATGCTGAAAGATCATGATCGACATATTCAAGAAGCTGCAAGAAGAGCGCGCCTTGATAGGACAAGGCTCACCAAAGATAAAGCAGATGCAACACAAATGATGGCAAACCCTATTTATATGTCTAGCCGCAGACCCAGGTAATAATAGATAAAATCTAGACAGAGAGAGAGAGAGGGAGTCAATCGCTCTCCTATGTCACCGTATAACTGTGTACATAGTAATTATAGTAATTATTTATTGTCGGTAATTTTGGAATTTATTAGGATGTTGTGTTGGAATATATATATATATATATATATATATATATATATATATATATATAGGGGAATTTTATGGCGTAAATTTTGCTTTGGAAACATCTTTATAGTAGATTGGTAAAAAAAAGTAGAACGTTTGTTGCATAAAAAAGAGATCTCAAAGTTCGTGTTGGAATAAAACGAGGCTGTAAAAACTTATCTGTTGAATAAAATGGGGAAAAGGTAAAAACTACATGTGTGATCAGTTTTAAGTTATATTGAACAATATGAATCCATGCAAAAAAGAAAAAAAAAATCAAATAACGATAGATTTATACCAACTTTACAAAATGTGTAATCTCAATCTCAATATCTAATAAATCTCAATAACTAACAACAAAAACAACAATAAGTTATAACAAAAAAACTAGTAGTTTCACATATGGTAATAAAACACAAAACCATCTGCATAACGCGCTATAGGGCGCCTCAATCTGCTTTGGCTACGTTTGAGTTAATGTCGTTCAACGAATTTCCAAATCATGTATTCTATCAAAACTTTTTTTTTTTTTTTTAAAACAAAAAATAAGTTGTAACATGTGTCTCATGGTGGCATCCATCCACGTTGGCTTTTATTTAATAAATTGATGACAATGGTTATTTTAAAAATAATCCAAAAACATGTTTAATATAAATATGGATCCATTTATAAAAATGTGAGCGTGGATAAAGTATAAACCCGGTCGTTGAGCGTGGATAAAGTATAAACCCGGTCGTCGGTGCAAGCCAAATTATAAATTATAATACCCATCACAATTAGGTAACCTGGCAAATACGCTATACACGAACAAGCCTCATCATGCATAATTGCATAGGCAACCTGTGAGATCTCTATTGACAAGTCACATGTGGAATATTCAATTATTATTATTATTATTATTATTATTATTATTATTATTATTTTTTTGGGGGGGGGGGGGGGGGGGGGGGAAAGAAAAATAGTATTTAATATAAATATATTTTGGTTGTGTTTTTCCATCGTGTGTATTTAGTTTTGTTGTTTCACCAAACCATTTTTCTTGTTGATCAGTTATGACCGACCGGCACATCAAAACAATAATCATATGAGTGCATTATAATGCATAATATAATCATCAAGAATGAAGTGCAATTAGGGGTGAGAGGTTAATAAAAAATCGATAAAAAAGCCAGAAAATAATGAAAAATAGAGACCTAACCAAGCAAAACTTGACATAACCCAACATGAAGTAACAAAGTTTTACCTTTTGACCGACTAAGTAATATAAAACTAGCAAGAAGCTTGAAAGAAACTTATAGCCAACATTAGGTTTTGTAACCAGAAACCCAATTGAGTTTTTAGTTTTTCTATTTCTATGAATAAATCAAGTAAGAGACAAAGTTATCAAAAATAGAAAATCTACTATAGCTATTGGATCATAAGACCTTTGCATTAGATAACTCCAAAGCACCCAAGCGGTAGTCATCGCAATCACATTCAACACCGATCTCTTCGTACTCGAGACATTCAATGAATCAACCAACAAACATAAGTATATACCAAAAGACAACATGAAATAACAGTATCCCACCAACGGGCCAATACAAGCCTTGTTTTGCCACTTCGCAACTAATTAAGGAATAAATGATGAATATCTTCTGTAGCCTTAAGGCCCTTAACAACAAGAACTCAAAAGTGGAATCTGTATCAATAACCATTGCAATCAATATGGTTCCGCGATTTAAAAGCACCCTCCAAAATAGAAATATTAATCTTTTTAGGAACAACTATATTTTATATAGTAGCCTCATTTCCCACAGCCAAACAAATGACACCATTAAAACATCCAGTAACTCTTATGAAATTATCCGAGTGATGAAGATCTCAAATCAATCCGCCCCTTTGATCCGAAGGCACAAAAGGACCAACAAGTTGGTATATATCTAAGAATTGAGCACTTTTGACACCCCTACTAACCTTTGCAAATTCCATGTCTATTGTTTGGTTGACCATTGGTCTAAACAATTTTTATATCTTTCAAGAAAAGAAGGTCTGAGAAATCTAAATAGAAAGGGGAACTTCACCTATCCATACATATTTCCCAAACAATGTCATAAAAATGGGAATGGAATAAACGAATTTGTTGCAAAAGATTTCAATTTGTTTAAATAACCGAGTTAACACGATCAGAAACAAAACTTAAACAAGTAAGGTTATGGTAAAGTTTTTTTCAACCTCAGAAAAACCCTGCATAGCACTACAACTGAAAATTATGAACATTCATTGAAGGAGAACGTAATCGTTCGAGTAGTGTTATTATTATGTCCCCACAAAGGTATTATTACACGATGGTTTTTGAGACGGTTTTTCAAATTAACTGTGTCATTTGATATCAAATAATAGAAAAGGCCATATGGCCATTTTGTCATGGAGTTGTGTTCAAATAGAAAAGGCCATGGAGAGATGTGTTGTTGGACCCATTTGTGTTTTATTCGTTTAATTGTATTGCCATTCATTGTAACTTGTATACGTTTTAGCTTGCGTTTTAGTGTTTGGTTTTCTTGTCATTATTTGGCGTATTTCCACCTGTAAAAAACTAACTCAAATAGTTGTTAAAGAAAAAAAAATGGTTTCAGATTTAGGGCAAAACCGACCCGACCAGGCTGTACCAGGATCAGCAGGCAAAATGGCAAGACACTGGAGATGGCCTTATATCGTAAGAGGTTCTCCTGGAGGCTAAAACCCTCAAAGAAACCAGACAACGGAGGATCCTCCCGCACTCTACAAATGCTATCTCGTATACTCTCTAAACCCTCAAGCCTCCGTTTTGTAGCCCTAATCTCATCATCTCAATCTCACTACAAACATCACCATCCTCCCCTGGTTCAAAACCCTACCTCCTCTACTTTTTTCTCAATCAACTCTCGCTATTTTTCCACCAATCGCGGAGACGGTAGTAAATCGTCCGATATCTGGAAGATTTCGTCGGGAAATGAAGAAAGCATTGAATCTGTGTTCGGTAAAGACACTGAGAGCCTCGAAGATATTGCCGGTGGCGAGGATGCAGTAGAGGAGAAGTCTTGGTTTAGTATTGAATCGAAGGAGAAAGGAGGTAATGGTGAAGAAGATGATATTTTCAAGGTAATAGAGAGTGAGGGGAAAGGGACTGAGGTGAGTGGTGCTGATACGTGGGGGGCGGAGGAAGGACTTAAGGACTGGAATTTTGTGGTGGGAGATCAGAAGGAGGGAGACGGAGAAGATGGAATCTTTGATATTGGAGATACAGGGGTTTCGGAATTGGCTGGGCTTGATGCTAATGTTGATGAAAAAATGGCGAGTCAAAAGAAAGAAGAAGATAGATTACTGGAGATTGAGGAGAAAGCTCTATCAGAGGTACTCAAAGGTATATATACCTTTCGTTACAAATCCATAAGGCCAATCATATTATTTGTTGTTACCAAATTCACATAAAAGTTTAGAAATAGCATAATAGATTATACCAAAAGGTCTTTTTGGAAGCTCTGCTTCTAACTAGGGAAGTGGATCGAGCTTTTGAAATGCTAAAATACATATGATATGGAAGTTTACCATCTCTCTAGGTTGAGGTTAGGATGTTAAATCATGTCATATGTTAAGACTCTGTGATTCTATGTAGAGGCATGTCTTGATCCTTTAGAGAGGTTTGTTTGTGGATCCTCTTTAAGTTTTGCTTGAAAAAATATATTGCAGCCTAAAATTAATATTCTAGGGTAGTGGATCTATGAGCAAACCTTACTATAAAAAGAACAAGGGCAAAGTACAGCAAAGAACTTGTACTTTCACCATTTTATAGATTAAGCCATTTAACTATTTTCTGTTTACTGTTGTGGTTAAACTATTATACTTCTTTTGACTGTTTAGAAATACCATTTTCCTGATTACCCAGTTTTGATATCTGGGCAAGATACAAAAAAACACAACATAATCATTTTATTGAATTAGCCATTTCGCTATTATTTTCTACTGATCTAGCCACCAACCATTGTCATAATAAATCATAAAAGATAATAGTTCAATGAGTAAATCAATAATATGGTGGAAGTACAGTGCTTTTCTGTATCTCACCTCTTCAAAAATCTGATAACTAGGATAAATGTTTTTCTAAATGGTCAAAATAGTATAATGGCTTAATAATCACTACATAAAATATTCAAGTGAGAAAATGTGCTTTTCTGTGTTTTCCCCAAAGAATAAATCTAAATCTATAAGCTCTCAACTTTGTCATGAAATTGGCAAATGCATACATAAGCTACTCACATTGCAACCCTTGTAATTCATCAACTTCAGCTTAACTACTTGGTATGGGTTGAATCTTGGTTTCATAATGCCAATATTGCATAGGAAGACAAAAAAACAAAAACTTTCCAACTCTTGATTACAAAAAGTCAATATCTTTTTAACTAACATGATACATAAAATTAATAAAAGAGCTTGAATAATAAAGATTCGGGTCTGCGTTCCTCCTCAGAATGCTTTTCATCTCTTCATATTTGTTTTTCCTTATTTGATGTTTATTTATAGGGTTAAATGCAAGAAATAGCAACGTATGCCCAATGATTTGTTTATTATAGGCTCATAGCATCGTATTTTCATTTTTTGCTACAACATTTTATTTTGAAAAAATCTACCCAGTATAGCATTATTGTCATCTAAATACGAAGATTTTGTTAACCCTAGAATTCATTACTACAGGTCCAGATCATGCATTTGGCGACTTGATTGCCGCATCAGGAATCACAGATGAAATGCTGGATAGTTTAATGGCTCTCAAAGACTTAGATGATGTTCCAGGATTGCCCTCACTGAGTGCAATTGAGGACATGCGATATGAAAAGAACACCAGGAAGTCAACTAGGGCAGACATTGAACGACAAAAGCAAGAGGAAATTGCCAAATCAAGGGTAAGACAGGTTGATACTCAGGGTAGGGCTTATGGCACTGGAAAAAGGAAATGTAGTATTGCCCGTGTATGGATTGAACCTGGTGAGGGTAAATTTGTCATTAATGACAAACAATTTGACGTCTATTTCCCCATGCTTGATCAACGAGCAGCTCTTCTTCGGCCTCTTTCGGAGACCAAAACATTGGGTCTTCTTGATGTTAATTGTACTGTTAAAGGAGGGGGTGTGTCAGGTCAGCATTCAATTTATGCAACTTATGCTTCTTTGAATTTAGCCACTTAATTTTTTTTTTCTTTTAGTGATAAAATTATTATACTTTTTTTTTAATTGTTAATACACAAATAAATGAAACAGGTCAAATTGGTGCAATTCGTCTTGGTATGAGTAGGGCATTACAAAACTGGGCACCAGATCAATTCCGTCCTCCTTTGAAAGAAGGTAAGGAGACTTTTTGTTGGTTATTTAGACATTCTATATTTAACTAGTTCACTTCTTTCTCCGTTAAGCAAGTAAAAAAGAAACTGCACCTAACCTAGGACTAGGAGTTTTTTATTTATGTGAAAACAAACTTACTTGTATTATAAAATATAAATAATAATGTGTGATTTATGTTTTTGGCAGTGGGTTTCTTGACAAGAGACTCGAGGATTGTGGAAAGGAAGAAACCTGGTAAGGCCAAAGCAAGAAAGAGCTTCCAATGGGTTAAGCGGTAATCGGGTTTTGATTTACAGTGTCAACTCAATTGCACCCAGAAGAGTCAAAATTGATAATTTGTAGGATCTTAACGTAGAAAATGCAAAAATCATAATCTATGCCTTTTTGAACTTGGAAACCTTTGTGTGTTGTCTCTAGTTATTTTAGGGGTTTTTGTGGTTGTTGGATTTTTGGTTACATTGAGGGTGGTGCAACGGTCGAAATAATAATATTGTTATTGGATTTTTATAGCGTTTTTATTGCATTAAAATGTTTCCGTTTGTTATATGTGCCATACTTTTTACAAGTTTGCTCCTATTTTATCTCAAACTTTATATTCAAACACAAAATATACACTAACAAATTGTACATTTACATCATATTTTACGTACAGCTCTACCTGTACAACAAATGTAAATTTATTCATTTATACACCCAATTTGAAGCTTCAAAGTAATAAACAAGAATTTACGGGCTATGCATCCAAAAGGAGGAAAAAGTTCGAATTTCATCCGGCCCACCCAATTTCCGAAGCCTTAGAATTAGATGCACAACCATACCCACCACAAACCCTAAAGCTGCACTTGATCCAACCAGCGAAACCGCAGTGCAAATAAGAACAACAAACGAATCCTCCTTGGAATTCATATCCCTAGCACACATCGCTAGCTCAACACCAGCAAACAACAACAACACACCTAAAACCCCAACAGGAAACGAGATCAAAATCCTTACAATAGAGCTCCCAAGTATCAACCCTAGCAACAATTTAGCTGCACCAAGTAACGCTACACACCCACCACTCCTCCCTCCGAACTTATACTGCCCGGCTAACCCACCCGCCCCATGACAAGTCGGCATTGCACCGAACCAGCATCCGGTCAAGTTCATCAACCCGACCGTTACGGAAACCGAGGTTGGTGTCACGGTTTTTTCGGGAAAAAGATCGGCCGATAGCTTGCAAACCGCAATAACCGAGTTAAGAATGGACAAGGGCAATTGTGGAATTGTGCCCTTCACAAACCCTCGTTTCCAAGCACCTTTTGAAATTTTAACAACTTGTATAGAAGATGGCCCCAGTTTGAACCCTTTCAGCACTTTAGGCTCTCTTATAATTGCCAAAATTACCCCTAACAGGAACACAATAAACGCTGAGGGTAAATAACTTACCATGTTCCTTCTCCAGTTTCTTCGTTTATTATCTTGACTCTCTTCATCGTTTTCGTTTTCGTTTTCGTTTTCAGGTTCTTGCCCTCCACCATTAACAATTGTGATAAAGCAAAAGCAAACGATTGCGAGAACTAACCCATCGAGTCCTAACCAATTCCGATTCCCTTTGGATTTTGACGTTGAAAAGTCTTGAACTTTCCGTATGTACTTGACTGCAGTCATGGCAAATGATAGACCTTGTGCTAGCTGAATTCCCCTGACCACCGGCAACGGAATCAGCCGGTAAGCTAGCTGCATGAGACCGGTCGCACCCAGAAAAATTAAAACTGCACCTGTGCAGATTCCGGCGGCCATGGTCTCCGGGATCCCAAAATCGGGGTCGGAGATAGCCACCGCAGCAATTGATTTCATGGGTTGGACAGGCATAGGGACGCCGTAGATTGCACCTGTTACGATATTGTAAACGCCGGTGAAAATCAATGTAGTGCCCAAGTTAAGGTCAGCGGCAAGTGTTAATGCTAAAACGATGGGTATGTAGGTCCCTAAGTCGCCCATTGCACCATTCAGTTCCGCCCATTTTGATCGGAAAACTAAATTGTCTTTCAGCTTTTTGGCCAGGGTGGTGGTGGTGACGGGGGTGGTTCGCGGTGGGGATTGGTAGTTGTTGGACTCCATGAGGTATGAACTGTTGTGTTGTAGTTAAATAGAGGGATTGGAATACCACCTTTTATAAGGATGGAGGGAATTGAATGTGCTATTATGATGTGATGTCACTATGTAAGCCGTAAGGCATCTTTTAGTCAACTGCCGCAAATTTATCGTTCCAAGACTATTGAAGGGGTCAATTTGTTTGTTGTTCTCAAATAAATCACAAAAAAAATTACCATACCAAGGAAGATTTTTTTTTTTTTTTTTTTTACAAGAAGTTACTTTCTTTTTTGATGTAAGTGCCAGATATAACATGAACGCCTTTGAGGGTGTGTGAGGTGCACTTCGGAAAGATTTTGTAGTATTTTCTTATGACGATCTTGTTGAGAGAGTACGATACATCGGTGTAAAAGATTGAACCATTTGGATCTTGGTCCATGATGGCCTTTTGATTAATAGGACCGGAAAAGGAGGAAAAGAAAGAGCTTATGATGACCCTCTATTTGATTCGATCATTTCGTAGATCTAATTCAGGTGTGTGTGTATGTGTTTTTTTTTTTTGAAGTGGAAAGGCCTTAAAATCTGAAGTTTAACGCTTAAAGGACTATGAAATCATCTCCAAAGATCTCGGTCAGAGCAGACATATGCCAAACATGAATACTGCTCGAAGCTACATGCATAACACCTGGTAGAGAGACCCAATCGTGGGTGAAATAAATACCGCAACTTCTATCTTTTTCATTAAAATCATCACGCAGTAAATCAACAAAGCCCAAAGTGATTTCTTTTTCCTTTTCAAGTTTACCTACTAAGGTACTGCAGTGAATATGATCTCACCAGACATACGTAACGCTTTAGCTAGTACACGAAAGTGTATACCATGATTCTTCTGTTTATCAATAACTGCATGCATTGTGCAGTGGATGTGAAGAAGTAGACCATTATCTCGGCAATAATGAGCAAAGTTAGTATTTGCAGTGAATCCCCATGTTAGGTAGTCAGTTCTAGGGAAAGAGTATTATATAAGATACTTATATGAAATACTATACTGTGATTTGAAATCTAGTTTAGAAATCTTTCTATCTTATTTGCTATATTGATTGTACTGTAATCTTGCATAATAGGATAGTAAGTTACAAATTCTATTTTGTTTTTTCCTTTTTTTTTTCTTTTTTTTTTTTGGATTGAAAGAGGAACGAGTAAATGAAAAATCCAAAGGATGTTCATGGCCAAGGGTAAAGATGTGCGAATCGCGGAGGGGGCCTAATTTTTACATATAGTTTGTTATAGTAGACTAGTAATCAAGTCCCGGAAATAAAATCGATTCAAACATATCATCACCAAAGTCACTTCAACCTCTGATTCTCGCCAACGACGTTACTCCTTCTCTTGAACTCGTTAAATGGTTAAGAGTGTGTGTTTTTTATTACTAATTAACTAATTGTTTCAAAATCAATGCACCATCAGATTCAAAAATCAAAATTATAAGTTTAAAAATCTAATAAGATCACTCAATTTCATAATCGCTTTTGGCCTTCAGATTTTGATTATTGATTATTTTAAAAGTTACGTCGAAACGTAAAAAAATAAACACGAACAAAAAATAATGAGGCTACTGGTTATAGCATTGTTAAGCGTGTTATATAAGCAGAGATGATATCTAGAAGTAATATAGGATATCGTACGTTTATTCCAAGAATGTCTTTGACGCCCTCGGATAAAATGATTCCTTTCACATTTCAATGAATACAATGAAAGTCGTTATCAAATGTGGTGCTGTTTTGAGACAACTAATATTCATCCATGGGCAATTGTATGTTGCATTGTCAATAGTTAAAAACATAAATGGATTAAACATATTAATTTTAAACAATGACGGTAAACTTAACAATATGACATCTAATGTTGTATTCAAAAAAGTTTTTAGGAATTTGTGATTCATAACAATTATTTACAATATGTTTGTAACGTCCCAAAAATTTCAACAAATTTTAAACTTTTCAAAAACGATCCTTTTACTAATAAAATGTTTACAAAATAGTGTTCTCAAACATTAATTGAAAATCAGAGTTTCTCAAGATCCAATCTGTTGTAAAACCAAGGATGTGTACGGTCATGCCTTCGCCTTGCCACTCCGGTCATCTGAAAAACCTAAAACCATAAATAAAACTGTAAGCACAAAGCTTAGTGAGTTTCCCCCAAAGTACCACCACACAAACAAAGCATAAACGCAAATACTCATGCCTGGTCCAATCAGCCTCGGGCTGGAATACCAGGCATGTCCACGATGGGTCCAGTCATCCTCGGGATGGAATACCCTCGTATCATATGCATATTGGCCCAATCAACCTCGGGCTGGAATACCAATATGTCGGGTCCAATCAACCATCGGGTTGGAATACCTAGGGTTTGTTGGCCTACCGCCTCAACCTTACCGCTCCTCCCGAGCATCCGTGCCTACGGCTTATAGCCGGTCTGCACCGGGTATCTTGGCCTACCGCACAAAGCATGACCGCCTCAACCCAACCAAACACAATATGTCGACATATAGACAATCATGATCAAGTAGGCACATAATACAAGCAACAACAATCATACAGCTCACTACTGCCTACTAATCTCTAACCACATACAGTCCCACTACCAGCTAACCCCCATAGAATGCGTAACTATAAGTAACCAAAGGTGAGATAGCCACCCGAACAGATGGTCCTACTCTAGAGCCACAACCAAACAAGGAAGAGGCAAGAGAGCCTAGACCAAGAGTTCTCAGGCTATCCTACATAACCGACAGTCCCTAAGGGCACTCCATAGATGATAACCAACAAGCACAGATAACATACAGTTCTATAGGTTATTACCACAAAGCAACATACTCATTACCGGGAGACAAATCTAACTGATCACTACAACATATCAGCATACTCAATACCATAACTCAGATCTAGCAGATCACTACAGCATAACGGCGTACTCAATACCAGAACACAGATCTAATAGATCACTACAGCATAACAGCGTACTCAATACCAGAACACAGATCTAATAGATCACTACAGCATAACAACATACTAAATATCAACAATCCAGGGATTGCATAACCGTATATACTCAGAGGTGAGATAGTCACCCGGACAGGTGATCCTACTATAAAACCACAACCAAACAAGGAACAGGTAAGAGAGCTTAGATCAAAAGTCCTCAGTCTATCCTACATGACTATATACAGTCCCTAGGGCATCCCTCTACTAGCAGATAATCAATACTAATGGGCCGACATTGGTGCCTTCAACCCACGGGTACAATGAGGCGAAACTCACCTCGATGTGCGTGCAGAAACCACTGTAGCAATGAAGGACTCTACCAGCTTCAACTCACTTCCAATCACCTACAAGAAGATACTTGAGTCAATACTCGATCACAGGTCATAGTCACATCCAACAGTGACCACTTCACATGAAATGATGATATGTGCATATTTAGCTATATATTTCGTAAAGATTTTTATTATTTATTAGCTAATTATTTGCATATTATGAACAAAAGGTACTTAATAGTGTTTAAATTATATTTTCAGTTTAAAAGATATGATTAGGAAGTAAAAGGAAGCAGGAGATGCATTCGGAAGCTCGGGGATTGAAGAAAGAAGAAAAAGAGTCAAATTATGACCCTACTCGACGAGCAGGGACGTCTACTCGACGAGTACCCACGAAGGTTCGCGAAGCAATACCCAAAGTCCTTACCGTACACGAATTCTTAGAGGGGACTCGACGAGTCGGTTCGCTACTCGACGAGTAGCCTCTGTTTTCTGAAAATTATAAATAGAGGTGAATTCCGAGTCCAAAACTCTCTCTGGATTTTTGGAAGATTACTTGGCGACTAAGGAGACTACTGGAGACCTGAGGAACGTGAGAAGAACCCTGATCCTAAATTCGAAAAAGATTAAGGCAACATAAGTTTACCTTTCCACTTTATCTTTGAATAGAACCATGTTTGGATTGATTGAATTCGTTTTTAGGCTTTTATCTGCTGAAATTATGAACTAATTTCGTTAGTTTCTGTTTAGGGTAGATAAGTTTGCTCCTATGGATTAATTTATGTTGGATTGATTGTTATTTGGTGAATTTTAGTTAAATTAAGCTTGTTAAAGACCCTTATGCATTAACCATAACTATTTTCTGTTAATAGCTAAGTAATTAAGCTGCATGAACATCTCTTAACTGCTTATCTCATGTGATTTATGTGAACACATTGTTATGTGCCTAGGAATAATGAATATGAAACTAGGATTAACTAGAGAATGGGTAAATTAACGTGTGAGCTTGCTTGATAAACCATCAACAAGAGGTTAATTTAATTACTAATTTAATTAGCTAATTACAAGTCTTATTTAATCCGAATAATTGAACTAGGAAATTCATTAGTTTAATCACCTGATCACTGTTTAAATTAATTTGTTCCCTAAGGATTGGTAATAGCGGATGTGAATCTAATCACTTTAGTTGGTAACCAATAACAATTAATCCATTGCATTGCCATAAAATTAACCATATGAGTAAATGAATCGAACCTAAACAGAAACCCCTTTGATTATTGAATTTAGTTGATTTTTACTTGCTTCTAGCTGTTAGTTACGTGTTAGTTAAATTTTAGTTAAGTTTCTAGTCTTGCAAAACTAGAGAAAACCCTTTCATTTACTATTTGTTTTAGGTAATTTTAGTAGTTAGATTAATTTCCGTTCCCTGAGTTCGATATCCTGCTTGCTAAATTATACCACCAATTGACAGGTCCACTGCCTTTGTGTGTCAAATTCATCATTAAAAAGTAGGAATAAAACTAGTTTGTTTAACATACAACAAGTTGTTGGCGCCGTTGCCGGGGAACGGTTCAAGAATTAATTCTAATTTCTAGTATTATCGATCCTTTGTGTGAGATTCATCTTGCACAAAGTTACTGCTTTAGTAAATTAATTATTAGAATAAGTTTGAAGTTTTTAAGAATTAGGTCTTTTAGTTACATTTTTTTTC